AATTATACCTGTGCTGACTAAAAAACCTATCCAAATTCAATGGATCAAACAAAAGATAGAGGCTGTTTAAGTGAATGAAATTATCATGGTATCTGTGAGTCTGGAAAAAAAAAAATTTTTTTCTGGAATTTACTCTAATAATTTTCGGTTGCTTCTGTAGCGGCCGCCATGGGAGAGGTTGATCCAGCACTTGTTCAACTTGAGGAGCACAGAGCGAAACTCCAAACAATTGAAGTAGAAGGAATTCCGGTTATCGATCTGTCCGACACCGGGAAACTCATATCAGAGATTAGAAATGCATGCAAGAACTGGGGATTTTTCCAGGTGATAAATCATGGGGTGCCGTCGGAGTTGCGCAGAAGGGTGGAAAGGGTGGTTAAGACATTCTTCGATTTGCCTATAGAAGAAAAGAAGAAGGTACAGCGAGACGCAATGCATCCGATGGGGTACCATGACAGTGAGCACACCAAGAATGTCAGAGACTGGAAAGAGGTTTTCGATTTCTTCCTTCAAGATCCGACGGTGGTCCCTGCCTCCCTTGAGCTTGGTGATCAGGAATTGAGAACTCTGACTAACCAGTGGCCGGAGTACCCTCTGGCGTTCAGGTGACAAAAACTTGAAAAGCTCTGTTATTTTGATTTAAATTCTTCAATAGTTCCAATTAAACATCTAGAAATATCTAAGTAGTTTCATAAAGGTAGCTAATTTTGGGATTCAAGGTAGAACTTTTTGAAAATTGCTTCAACTTTATTGTTTTCTTTCACCATAGCCAAAAATGCAATTCATTTTGGCATTTGGGTTCATGGGTTCATGACTAAAGTTGCTTGTTTTGGTTAGGGAGGTCTGTGAGGAGTATATTCGAGAGATGGAAAAACTTGCCTTCAAATTGTTGGAACTTGTCACCCTCAGCTTAGGATTGCCTGCGGACCGACTGAAGGGGCACTTCAAAGAGCAAACCAGTTTCCTGAGGTTCAATCACTATCCTCCTTGCCCTAACCCCGAGCTAGCACTTGGTGTTGGCCAACACAGGGATGGTAGTGCCTTAACTGTCCTGGCTCAAGATGATGTTGGAGGATTGCAAGTGATGAAAGATGGAGAGTGGATTCCGGTGAGACCAGTACCAGATTCCTTCATCATCAATGTTGGCAGTAATATGCAGGTACCTTTTTGATTCCTCTGGAACAATCAAGACTCCTAGTTAAATCGTTTCAAAAATATTAGGGACTAAAAGTGCAATCTAGCTGACTTTATCTTGATTTTCTTTCCATGGATTTTCTACTGATAATTGTTACAGGTTTGGAGTAATGATGCATTTGAAAGTGTGAATCATAGGGCGTTGGTGAACACAAAAAGGGAAAGGTTTTCTATTCCTTTCTTTTTCCACCCTGCTCCGTCAGCCATGATTAAGCCTTTGGAGGAGCTAGTGAGTGAGCAGAACCCAGCCAAGTATGCAGAATTCAACTGGGGCAAGTTTTTTGTTGCTAGAAACAGGAGTGACTATCAGAAGCAAGATGTTGAAAACATCCAAATAGACCATTTTAAGAAGTCTGAGTAACAATGTTTGAGAGTCAAAAGTGATGTTGTTCTATCAAATTGTAATAATAAGTTGCAATAAGGATTTGGAAGGCTGTTCGTCTGTTGATTCTTTCCCTTATTTCTCAATCGTTTTCATGGCAAGATGTCTTGACCTAGCAAACAACTCTACCATGTCTATTGAGCCTAAAATGCACTCACCATGACAGAATTGGTATAAGTTAAATGTGTGAGTTGATACAATCTAAATGATATCCATGAGTGGATACAACCTAAATGGGTTTATGAGGATTTGAGTATGGGATTTCATAAGAACTTTGTCCTTACATGGAATAATGAATAAAACTTTCTTAATTTTTTTTCTTAATTTTTTTTTCCATTCCCACCAAATCTTGATAAGAATTTGTACTTGTGCTCTCCCTTCATCTCCTTTCCCCACAAGTTTCATTTTAGCATATCAAAAAATAAAAAGAATTCGATGATCAGATCTTTGCAGCTAACCTTTGATTATGAACAAAAATATAAAGAGAAGTAAATTCTTGATTTTGTTTGTCCACTAAAGTGTTGGTTTAAACAGTATTTTTTTTATGGTGGTCGTGAAAGCAGACAATCCAGTTATACTTGTCAACTAACATTGCCGCAAATTCTGTCCAGATTCCATCTGGTACCAAAACCACACCTTTCCATTATTTATCTATAAAACAATGTCTCCACCTCCATTTATCACAGTAAAGAGAAATCCAAGACTGAGCAGCGACTAACAATGGGAGAAATCGACCCTGCTTTCATCCAAGACCAAGAACACAGAGCCAAACTCTCACCCATTGAAGCTGAAGGGATTCCCTTGATTGATCTCTTGCCACTGACAACTTCACTTGACAACACTGACGGCCTCATTTCTGAGATACGTGATGCGTGCCAAAACTGGGGATTCTTCCAAGTGATCAACCATGGCGTGCCTCTGGAGAAGCGCCAGAGGATTGAATATGCGGCTAGAAAATTCTTTGCTCTGCCGTTGGAGGAGAAGAGGAAGGTGAGGAGAGATGAGGTGCAGGTTTTGGGGTACTACGACACGGAACATACTAAGAACGTTAGGGACTGGAAGGAAGTTTTTGATCTGGGTGTGGACGATCCGATTCGGGTTCCAGCATCCACTGATCTTGATGAGAAGGAAGTAATTGAGTGGCATAATAAGTGGCCTGAATACCCACCAGAATTAAGGTAAATCTTTTGAAATGATATACCTTCGATCCTTACAGCTGCAATTTGATTGATTTGTGTGCTGACAGGGAGGCATGCGAAGAATATGCAGAGGAAGTGAGTAAGTTATCCCACAAATTGCTGGAACTCATTGCCCTGAGCCTAGGCTTACCGGCAGACAGGTTTCATGGCTTCTTCAAGGAACGAACAACCTTCATCAGACTCAATCATTACCCACCCTGCCCTGTTCCTCACCTGGCTCTCGGTGTCGGCAGACACAAGGATTCTGGTGCTCTGACTGTTCTTGCTCAGGACGATGTTGGCGGACTAGAAGTGAAGCGGAAATCAGATGGAGAGTGGATTGGGGTCAAGCCCACACCAAATGCTTATATCATCAACGTTGGGGACATCATTCAGGTGCTGATAAACAATAACAATTCAGACTTAATAGGTGTTCCCCTGACCCATTCATGTTCATTTTATAGGTTTGGAGCAATGATATGTACGAGAGTGTGGAGCATAGGGTGATGGTGAACTCCGAGAGGGAAAGGTTTAGTATTCCATTCTTCTTCAATCCAGCTTCTTACACAATGGTGAAGCCATTGGAAGAGCTGATCGACAAGCAGAATCCAGCGAGATACATGGCGTACAGCTGGGGAAGGTTTCTTGCTACTAGAACAAGCGGTAACTTCAGGAAGCTTAATGTGGAGAACCTCCAAATCCAACATTTCAGGATATCAGATTCAAAGTTAGCAACTGCTTAGAAGGGTAACAGAAGTCCATCATCATGTGAGTGAATAATTCCATGCTTCCTTTGAGATTGAGTTGCCCCTGCCTGGTTTAAAAGAAAATGTTATGGTTATAAATAAATAATGGACAACAGAATTATGTATGATGTAATTTTAGCGGGAAAATAAAATGCAGTTAGTCATAGAATCCTCGGTCCTAGTTTATCTATTTCAAGCTATAATACAAGAACCATAAATTATTATTCGCCTCCTATGACAAATTTAATGTCTAGATTTCGAGACCAGATATCAGGATTTAATGACAACGAAGATGGAAGATGGAAGAAGGTGCAACAATACTGGCTGCTAGATTTGTTATATCCACCCAAATCCATTCTATAACTCTACCCTAAAAAGTGATAAATTATCATAACAATGAAAAAAATAATAAATTGTTAAATTCAAACAGCATTTTATGGTATGTCCAAAGCATCAAACCTAAGCAATGATGCAACTCAGAAAGACAAATCATGATTTTCAGGCAAACATTAATGGGGGTTGAGAAAAAGTGAGGAACATCAATGTATTGCCAGAGGAGCCAATGTTAATCCAAACACATTAACGTCCAAATCTAACAACCCACAAAAACATGTTTTCTGTTTCAGAATGAGACAAACCTGTTTTAATTAACTGCTAAATATTGCCACAAGTCCATTCTAAATTCACTCAGAATCGTATCCCCACTCTTGCATTGTATATTATATACTATAAAGTCATATGTCCACTTTCATTTCTTACGAAAAAGAAAGGGGAAATATTTTTTGAGCCGAACAGGGAAGAGAAATGGGAGAAGTTGATCCTGCTTTCATCCAAGACTTAGAACACAGGCCTAAGCTCTCACCCATTGAATCTGAGGGAATGCCCTTGATCGATCTCTCACCACTGACAAATGCACCAGATGCTATTGAGGGCCTGGTTTCTGAGATACGGGATTCATGCAAGAAACAGGGGTTCTTCCAGGTGATCAGCCGTGGGGTGCCCTTGGAGCAGCGTCAGAAGACTGAGGACACGTCAAGAAGGTTTTTCACTTAGCCATCAGAGGAGAAAAGGAAGGTCAGAAGAGATGAGGTGAGATGATGCAGGAGCATTAGAACTCTTTTTAATGATTAGTTTTAGGGCTGTTTGTTTTGAATTAAGTTTGAGTTTTTATGAAATCTAAGTTGTAATTTTAGGAAAGTCATTTTTAATTAGGATTAGAATTAGTAGCCTATTAGAAGTTCAATGCTCATTAAAAGTTCACATTAGAATTGAATTAGGATTCTTAGCTAACGCATATATAGTTATCTTTAGATCTCTAAATCAGTTTTTGTTATGATATTTTAGTTTGACAATAAACTTGAGGTTGAAAACCTAAGTTTTCTTGGTTCCATCTTTAGTTTTACGGAGTTCGTAGTGTCTGATTGTTCTACCCCTACCTTCCCTGCATCATGAGAGCCCTGGGTTATCCTGACTCAGAGCATACCAAGAATGTTAGGGACTGGAAAGACATCTTTGATTTCAGCGTAGAAGATCCTACACTGGTTCCAGCTTCACAGATCATGATGACAAGGAAGTAAAATGGCATAATCAATGGCCTGAATATCCTTCTGACCTCAGATAATTATTTAATTAAGAGTTAGGAATATTGAAACATAGAATAGAAGGTCATCTTGGAAAAGCTTGATTTATGTCATTGCAGAGAGGCATGTGAAGAATATGCAAAGGAATTGAAGAAACAAGCTTAAAAATTGATGGAACTTATTGCCTTGAGCCTAGGCTTGCTAGCAGATAGGTTCAATGGCTTCTTCAAAGACCAAACCAGCTTCATTAGATTCAATCACCACCCACCTCCCATGTTCCTCACCTTGCTCTTGGTATTAGCCAACACAAAGATGCTGGTGCCCTTACTGTTCTTGCTCAGGATGATGTCGGAGGGCTAGAAGTGAGGAGGAAATCTGATGGAGAGTGGATTTGAATCAAGCACAGACTTAAATCATCAACATGGGTGACATCATTCAGTTAAGTACTAAGTAGAAATCAAGACTTCACTTACCAGCTGTTACTCAAGTAGTCTGGTTGAATGATGTTTATATTGCAGGTGTGGAGCAATGATAGATATGAGAATATGGAAGCCCGTGGAGGAGCTGACCAGCGAGCAGAATCCTGCCTGCCAGATACAGGGCATACAATTGGGGCAAGTATTTTGTCACCAGAAAGTGCGGCAACTTCAGGAAGCTGAATGTGGATAACATCCAAACCTATCACTTCAAGATATCAAATTCAGAGCTGTCAGACCGCTTTGAAGCAGCACTACCCATTAATAAGTAATTAAATTCATCATCCTAGGAATTTCATATAGCACTGAATCTAAAACAATATTATCAGCTTCATATATGTTTATATAAATAATTTTCATCCTGTCTCTGTTGTAGCTTCCACATTGTATTGTTGCTCAAGCACATTCAGAGAAAAAAATCAAACAATTCTATTACTTTCTCTTCAAGGATCATAGAAGAAATACAATATTTATGCACTTCAAACAAAGTCAGAACATATTATAAGAATGACGAATTATATTCTTCCTTTTTGTTCAAAGGGCTGATTAATTATAAATCAAAAAGATTTCCTTGTTTAATAAGTCTGGTTTTTACATTTCTACATGATTACAGAAAACCCTTTTCCTGAAAGTAAAAAATTATTTGCATTTTGCAAGGCCATCCAATAATAGAACTTGTAAACAAGAAAGCCCTTAGAAACAAAACTAGTTAGTCAAATTTCATATAAATATAAAAAAACCTTTAGTCAAATTCAAAGCCGGCGACTTTTTAATTTTACTAAATTAGAATCACACTGGTTTTAAGTCGATCTCTATGCAGCAGAAGGAAAATAGACAAACATGAAGAAGGAACGAAAGCTATTCATCTTACTTTCAATTTCAATCTACCTCAATCATACTGTACTCGGCACTTCGTCAGAGTCACCGATGCCAGTTCCGGGCAAGCACTTTGTGCTAGTACACGGCTCGTGCCATGGCGCCTGGTCCTGGTACAAGGTGGTACCGCTGCTAAAATCGGCTGGCCACAACGTCACCGCAATAGACCTGGCAGCTTCCGGAGTCGATCCACAGCAGGCAATCACTCTCCGATCGGTCTCCGATTACTTCCGCCCACTGACCGAACTCATGGCAGCTCTACCGCCGCACGAAAAGGTGATCCTCGTTGGACACAGCCTCGGCGGTCTGGCCATCTCCCAAGCCATGGAGAGGTTTCCCGACAAGATTTCGGCCGCCGTTTTTGTCACTGCTTTGATGCCGGGCCCGGCCCTCAGCGTCTCTGCTCTCGTGAACGAGGTAAACAATTAAAATTAATATTAATTTTTATCCTTTTTTTTAATATAAATTTATAATAAAAATATAACTTTAACACATATTAATATGTTATTAAAAAAATGTAGAAGTCAGAGAAATTCATAATCATTATGGTGTATATATAATTTGTGTCTTAAGTATATGTATTAATGGTATAATAAATATTTTTTTATTATATATTTATATAAAAATATAAATTAATTTTTAATTAACTTGATTAATTTTAATAACAATAATGAAATTATTATTAACTTTTATATTTTTCAATATATAACAATAGCAAAAAATAGTTTAGGGGTCCTAAATTAGGGCACAGGTTCTATTATGAATAAAATTGATTTTCAATCTTGATTAATTAAAAAATTATAATTTGCACTTAGACCTCATGATTTGATGACTTTATACCCGTTAAAAGTGCTTGGATTGGGATTTGAATTCCCCCACCCTCAATGATGCTCAAAAAAAATTATAACTTAGTCAAAATTTTACTCCTTAAACCTTTTATTTTATTTAATTAGGTCCCTAGCTAATTTAGAAAAAATTTAAATTAATAATTGTTTATATTTTGTTCAATTAGTATTAATTTTGATTTATCTGCATCAAAAAAATAATTTTGAATTTATGCAATATGGTATAGTAATATGAGTTTTTGTTATAATTTTTGTATTTCAAAAACAATAAAAAGTCATTTCGGAGACAAGGCCCTCTGCTGGATAGCCGTTACGCCTACGATGATGGACCCAACAATCCTCCAACAACTTTCATTTTTGGTCCATTATACCTTTCTTCGCAAGTCTACAAGCTTAGCCCAATTCAAGTGAGTGTTCTCTCTCTCGTTTAATGCTACTTTATAGTGGGATCCAGAATTTGATCTCACTTATACAATCAAAAATAATTTTTCCTATCTGATACTTTATTTTGTTTACATGTTATAGAGTTTAAATTCAAAATATGTTATTTTTAATAAAAAAAATTATTATTAAATTATTTAAATCTTTAAAAATCAAATCATTAATTTTGGAAAAAAAAAGCTCTATATAGTATAAGCCTTCTTCGTGATAATTATAATTATGTAGTTAACATTAAATCAGATAGTATAATATCTATCTGTTCTTTCTTTTTTCTTTTTTCTTTTTATAAACTCACTTATGTTACCTAATTTTGAGATTTGAAAACTTGTTATAGGATTCAACTTTGGCAAGTATGTTAATAAGACCGCTGCGTTTGTTTAATGTGGAAGATATGTCGAGAGAAATAGTTGCAACCAGGGAGAGATTTGGGTCAGTTAATAGGGTTTTTATAATTTCAGAAGAAGATTTAGTTGCAACTAAGGATATGCAACAATGGATGATCGAGAGAAATCCACCGGATGAGGTCAGGGAGATCAAAGGATCGGATCATATGGTGATGATGTCAAAGCCAATAGAGCTTTTTAACAATCTCCTTTGTATTGCTGCCAAATACAGTTGATGTATAATTATGTATGCATATGCAATTGATCATATGAGATGTATTCCAAAAATAATATGTACTTAAGAAGATTGCTGCTGAATACAGTTGATGTATAATTACGTATGCATATGCAATTGATCATATGAGATGTATTCCAAAAATAATATGTACTTAAGAAGATTGCTGCTGAATACAGTTGATGTATAATTATTTATGCATATGTAATTGATCATATGAGATGTATTCCAAATATAATATGCAATTGAGAGTTGAGAACTTAGAACTTTTCACAATCTTAACCTTAACTTTCTCCTCTTTTTATTTTTATTTTTTTAACAGCTTACGATTTGGGTGGAGTATTCAGATTCAAATAAGGACTTAATTTGAAAGTATACCTTCTAGCCGTTAGAGTTCATGGTAGTGTGCTTTATTATTTTGGATCGAGATAACAAAATCTTCAGAGATAATAAAAACAGAGGGTAAGTTTAAGATTATTATAAACTGCTGTAGTTGTAATTAAGTTTGTAATTGTATTGTGTTTTATGTGTTATAACTATAATTGAAAGTTTTTGGTATTTAGTTATTTATTTTTTAAAATATTATAAATTATAATATAATTAAATTATATATAATTAAATTTTAATAAATAATTTTGTAATTATATTAAATATTAATTATTATTTATAAAACTGTAAAAGTCACAATCAAAATGTTTTAAAATGAGGTTTATAGTTTTATATATAAAATTATTGTAAATTAATGATGATTTTTTTATAATTTTTAAAAATCATTGTTAATATATATATATATATATATAAGTAATGATTACAAGAAAAAATTCCCCACCATAATTCCAAATGGGACCGAAATGGTGTTGACTACACATCTCAAATTTGGAAAAGTCTAGAGCTGGCTCCGCAGAAAAGGTTCAGACATTATCCTAGAAACGGACTCTTGATTAGCGATGCAAAAATTACGAAGTGGCGCAATGGAAATAAAAGCACTTAGCGCCTTTGATCAAGAAATGAAAGGCTTTCATGCAGAGGGAGTGGATATGTGAAATGCAACATCTGCTCCGAGAGAAGAATTTTTGTGCAGCTGCCATGCCTTCACAATTTTATCATTTGGGGAAAGGTTTTCACTATTTTGAAGAGCCACCAGAGATAGTTTCGAACGTTTACTTGAGGATTTGATAGGTTTTTGTTGGCCTTGTACTACTAGATAATTTTTAGTGAATACTTAACTGTATGAACAGAAAGTTTCAGAAACCAATCAATTTCAATCTGCATACCCCTCAATTTTCCATAACATATAAATTAATTTTGCTGTTAAAAAAAAAACATATAAATTAATTTCAATCTGGGAAGATATAGAAGAACAAAATAACTAGGGAAGAAAAAACCCAGAAAGATCAGTTGTAGAGAAAGACGGGCTTCCCAGCAGTGTTGCGTTTTGATGGATGGCTAACCTCACCGCATATGCCACCATTTTGACAGACTCTACAGCCAATTTCAACAGCTTGCAGATCTCTATCATCTGCATCATCATTTTGCGTCGAATTCTTTCTCCTTTATGGTGCTGCAGTTATCAAGGCTAAGAGAAAAAGTAGATAGCATCAACATCATGAAGGGAGCAAATATATTGAATTGTAGTTTGAGTAAGTATGACCTTTTGAAAGGTGGATGCTACTATGAATTTAAGTTGAGGAGATGAAAGAGACAATGTGTGGCAGAAGCAAGTGATTATAAAGAGGGCTTTGAACAACGGATATGAATCATGTGGTTTATCCCAGCACTAATTTTTATGGGTAATAATGGGTCCGCCTCCTTCTTGCAGTTTTGCTTTTGCTTTTGCTTTTGCTTCTAGAGGAATCAAGGAGTCACCAACCATATCAATATACGGAAATTGTTGGTAAGCATTTATTCAATGTTTAGATTGTGACATCTAATGGTAATCTTTCGTTTAAATTATAAATTTGAGTTGTAAGCAAATGGGTAAGTCGAAGGATGTGAAAGAGCTGGCTTACCCTATGTAATTCATAAAATAAAAATGATTTTGATTCCGGGTCGGTTTCTTTTTTTTTTTTTCTTTTAATTAATGAGAAACCACATTAAATATTAATTAATTTAAAATTAAATTATATTGAATTTTACAAAAAAAACAATTTTTTCAACATTTATTTCTTTATTTATAAGATTTAAATTTAAAATTTTATTTTTAAAAAATTAAATTCTTTTAATTTAAACAACCAACAAATGAAAATCGGATAAGGAATTTTATTTATAAGATTTAAATTTAAAATTTTATTTTTTTAAAAAAATTAAATTCTTTTAATTTAAACAACCAACAAATGAAAATCGGATAAGGGATAGGGATAATCTCATTAACTGGACTTTCATAGGTCGGTCCAACTGTTGTAAAATGGATACCTATGTTCTAAGCCCAAAGCAAAATGACAGGACAATCAATAATCAACAGACACAGATAGGCCCAAAGCTCAAAAAAGCCTCGTTCCAATATAGCCGTTGAAAATTTTAAAAATTTGGCCATAATTACAACCAAATCCCTCACAATTCTCCTTTTTGACTCCCGACCCCCTTTTCCCAAATTCAAAATTTCAAATCCCTAACCCGCCACCCTCTATTTCAAATCTCAACCTAATCTCCACCCTCCATCTTCCCCATCCCCCAATCTAAAATTTCAAAAACCCCCCAAAGCAAAACCCTTTAAAAAAATTCTTCCACAGAGAGACGAGAAAAGATAGATCCTTTAAGAAGATTATGGCTTCTTCTTCAATCAAGATCTGCTTTTTCTCAGCTATTTTTTCTTTTTGAAAGGGTGATGAAGCCATAGTTACAGTAAGAACAGCTAACTTCAGCTCTCTTTCTCTGGAAAAACAATTGCCGGGAATCGATTTCGCATTCTGTTCTTCAATTCCACTTTCAGGTAAAAAAGTTTGTATTTTCAATACAGTCAATAGGTTTAATTGCTTTCCTGTTATTTGGGTATTCTTTGGACTAGCGAAGCATTTTCTGGGTACTGATTTTTTTTTTTTTTTGGGCGGGGGGGTGTTTCTTTGTTAGAATGTTGCGAGATTTCAAATTCTTGCGCGGGAATTCGGGGAGGAATGAGGAGATTGAGAACGTCCCTGTAAACCCCAGAGACTCACTGGGGTCGCAAGCCAGCTACGACTCATTAAATCGAGCTCCTCTTAACACCATTCAGGAACCTACGCCTAACCCTAAACCAGAACTTGAGTCGAGTTTTCGGAGTCGAATAGACAGGACGCCGACTAAGCCCAAACACAGAAACCCTGATTCCACGTTGCCTCTTAGGACACCTGAGAGACATGGGGGTTTGTCTAAGCAACGGTTTGGTTGGGCTCAGAGAAATGATAACAGTGATGATGTGAGGATTGATGCAAGAAATGGAGGTTTGGTAAATATGACACCTAGGGTTAGTAGGGGAGTGGGGAGAGCTAATTCTTGTTATTCTGAGAGTAATTCGACTCAGAGTACGCCAACAAAGAGTGTCAGTAAGCCTCCAACTACAGGTTATAAGAGCAAGATTGATGGGAATGGAGGCATGCGTGTGGGGAATTTTGCGGCATTGTATAGAGGAATGCCCAGCTCTTGCAGTCCAGCTACTGTTGTTAATACGGTTGAAGTGCCTCACTTTGATCTTAAGGAGGACCCTTCGTTTTGGATGGATCACAATGTACAGGTAAAAATCATTCTTCAATCATCAGTGTCGTTTGACATTCATTAATTTCTTGTTGTTTTCATTTAGTTTCCAGACATAGGACGAGGTGGAAGTTACACTTAAAGAGTTCTTATTAATCTTTTTACGTAGATTCTGACATATTTCCTTCTTGTAGTTGAAGTTACTTTGGTATTTGAAAAGATTTTTTCCATCAGTTTCATTAAGTATTGATATCTCAATTAGGCGAAGGATGTTTGGAAATAAGGAGAATTGCTATCTTACTAAATGTTTACAAGAGTTCTCCACAGATGCTTTTGTGTTAATTTAGAAGATTATTAACTTGCTATGCAAAATTTACAATCGTTTATCATTTTGTTATTTGTACTGACAAATTTAAAATTTTATATAGGTCCTAATACGTGTCCGTCCTCTCAATAGTATGGAGAAGAGTATGCATGGTTATAATAGGTGCTTAAGGCAGGAAAGTGCTCAAAGCATCACTTGGATTGGGCAACCAGAAACTAGATTCACATTTGATCATGTGGCTTGTGAAACAGTTGATCAGGTATGGACTCTGGTTAGAGACAAAACTGGAGATCCATAGTTTCACTAAAAGTCTTATTTCCTAAGTATGTTCAAACATCTGGTTTTGCAGGAAATACTTTTTAGGATGGCTGGTCTACCAATGGTGGAGAATTGCTTGTCTGGCTATAATAGCTGTATGTTTGCCTATGGTCAGGTAATTTTCTGGAATCTAGGATGTTTAAAAATATAAATTCACTGTTTTTGCATGGTAAGGATGCCCCAATTTCTGTTCCTGAATTTTTACTTTTCCTTTATTTAGTTGTATAAGTATAGAGTTAGATGGAACCTGGAAATGAATAAACTTTTATGGTAATTAAACAGTGAATCCCCAACTTTTTATCACAAGTTTGCTTATACTAAAAAAGATGATGGCTTGACAATATATTGTCTAAATCTAGCAGATTCTGACCGTAATAATATGAGGTTGTAAGGGAAGAATAGAAAGGGGTTAATATTTTCAGATTTTTCACTAGACTTGATGTGGTCCAAAGCAATTTTTCTCTCCATAGCTGCAATTTTGTCTTAAAAAATATTTTCTTGTTTGTTATTTAGTATTTTAGTGCTCCTTGCAGATAGTGTAACTAGTATGCATCAACTTGTAACATTTCCCAAAAGTCAATCAAAGTTGGTTTTATTCAATTGTATAATTGAAGCCAGCATTTCCTTCCCCTTGGTCCAGGGAGCAACTATATATCAGCATGGTTAGATTGATATAAGTTTGTTAAATGGTCATGCAGACAGGAAGCGGTAAGACATATACAATGCTTGGTGAAATCGATGATTTGGAAGTCAAACCAAGTCCACACCGGGGAATGACTCCACGAATATTTGAGTTCTTATTTGCAAGGATTCAAGCTGTACTTTTTTCCTCTTCACAAGTTCTATCTTTTTAACATTTTTATTTGACTTAAAAGTGTTCCAAAAAAAAAAGAAGAAAAAAAAGAAGCCAATCTAGCTTTTTCTTAACACTTTTCTCATTGCAGGAAGAGGAAATCCGTAGGGATGAGAAGCTAAAATACAATTGCAAGTGCTCTTTCCTAGAAATCTATAATGAACAAATAACAGACCTTCTTGATCCCTCTTCTAACAATTTGCTTGTAAGTACTGGCTTTAAATAAGTTTATCATTTTGAAAGTTATGAGCTTTGTTGCATATACTACTTTTCTATTTGCAGCTTAGGGAGGATATTAAGAAAGGAGTTTATGTGGAAAATCTGTCCGAATTTGAAGTTCAGACGGTGAATGATATTTTGAAGCTCTTAGCTCAGGTTCATAATCCTTGGCCCATAATGTCTCCCTTTTGAAACAGTTGTCATTTGACAATCTGTCTCCAATCTCTATGTCTGTACCTTTTCTTGGATTAAATAATTTATTTTGTCATGGATAGGGTTCTTTAAATAGGAAAGTTGCAGCAACACACATGAATAGAGAGAGCAGCCGTTCTCATAGTGTCTTCACATGTGTAATTGAGAGTAGATGGGAAAAAGATTCCACAACAAATCTAAGGTTTGCCAGATTAAACCTTGTTGATCTTGCTGGTTCAGAAAGGTAAGGCTTCATCATCCAGCTAGTTGAACCTGAACCTTATAGTTAGGCTTGTATGTGCATGCCATTACTCTTGACCTTGTTATCTTCTACCATAGGCAAAAAACTTCAGGTGCTGAGGGTGAGCGTTTAAAGGAAGCTGCTAACATTAACAAATCCCTGTCAACACTAGGGTACTTGAACCATTTGCAAATTTCTTCTATAGATTTGCATGCTTTTCTAGTTTTATAGTTCACTTTACTTTTAAACATTATTAGTAACACAAAATTATTTGCAGTCATGTAATAATGATTCTTGTGGATGTGGCACATGGGAAGCCAAGGCATGTTCCATATAGAGACTCAAAGCTCACCTTTCTTCTTCAGGTCTATACTGACTCCATTTTCTTTTTCTTTACAGCATTGCATTTCATGGTAATGATGTAACATTTGCATTTAAACACTATGCAGGACTCTCTTGGGGGAAATTCTAAAACAATGATAATTGCTAATGTCAGCCCTTCTATCTGGTCAGTCATATATTGTAACTGCTTTACTATCATCTTAACTCCTACCTAATCATTAGACTGAGATGCATCCTGTACTTTTTCAGCTGTGCTGCTGAAACTCTGAACACTCTAAAGTTTGCCCAACGAGCAAAATTGATTCAGAACAATGTGAGCTTATGTCTCTTATTATTTCATTTCCTTAAATAAATTAAAAATTAAAAATTAGCTCTAAACTTTAACCAATATCACTAATCTACTTTTTTCCATGTCATGCTGTTAGGCTGTGGTGAATGAAGACTCAACAGGGGATGTTATTGCACTACAACACCAGATACGACTTCTAAAGGTGAGCCATAGGGTCATAAGTCTTCCTCTTAGTTGTTAAATTTTGAATAATGTGCAATCTAAACTGATTTTTCTAACAGGAGGAGCTTTCTGCACTCAAACGCCAGAATGTGTCGAGGTCTTTGTCTTTTTGTTCAACAGATTTTAATGCAGCACATGTACAAGAAGTTGCTAGCAATGATAACAAATATGAAATGGATCAAGGACAGGTTGATGATGTGCTTGGATATGAATCCAAAGGCACTGTGAGAATGTCTACCAAACAGGTAACATGGTTATGCTAAATTATTCTGGCTATTATATGTGGATGAATTAGACAATTGGAAGCTATAGTTAGAAGAATGTCACTAATATGAGGTTCAATACACATGTTTCTTTAATATTGTGCTTGATTTTGAACTTCCTAAGAATGATTATGTTTCAGTTGAAGTGTTTGGAGACCACACTTGCTGGTGCTTTGAGAAGGGAGCAGATGGCAGAAACTTCTATCAAGATCCTTGAAGCAGAAATTGAAAAATTAAACTGTTTGGTAGCCTTTTGGCTCAACTCTATATTGGTTCCATAATTCCATTACTTCAAAAATATATATTTTTTAAAAATTTCAAATACCATATGTTTTCAGGTTCGTCAAAGAGAAGAAGACACAAGGAGCACTAAAATGATGCTCAGGTTTCGAGAAGACAAAATTCAAAGAATGGAGTCACTTGCTCGTGGCTCATTGCCTGTTGATTCTTTTTTAATGGAAGAGAATAGAGTGCTCTCTGAAGAGGTTCAATTGCTCCAAGCTAAAGTTGATAAAAATCCAGAAGTAACTCGCTTTGCTTTGGAGAATATAAGGCTCTTAGATCAACTCAGAAGGTAGTTTCTGATAACAGCTATCAACTCAAAGATTCTTTGTGATTCTGTTTGTGTTTTTCTCACTTTGGCATTTGTAGATATCAAGAATTCTATGAAGAAGGGGAGAGAGAGATACTCCTGGATGAAGTATCTGCATTGCGGGATCAGGTGCTTGTGATATGTTATGAAGAAGCATGTCTTTATATTTGATTTTGTTGTCTTGAGCATTTATAATAGAAGGCTTCCATATGCAGGTGCTTCATCTTCTTGATGCAAACTCCAAGCAGCATGGCCATGCGAACATGAGTATGCAATCACAGGTTAAATCCCTACTATGATTCTTCTTGCTTCTGTTTGGCATACTATATTTTTTCCCCTTCTCTAATAAAAATACAAGAAAAAAGAATAAGGAAACTTCATCTTTCCTTTACATTAATCCTTTTGTTTTTTTAGCACAAATATAAAGGCATTAAAATTTACTCCTTTTTCTGCCACAGGACTGCATGAGCAAAGAAAAGGACACTCTGCACTTTGAGGTTGCTTAATTCTATGCTTATTTAGTGATTATAATGATCTGAACCTGTACTTCAGAATCTAATATGTTACATTTTTATTGCTACAGTTGCAAAACACTTACAACGAGTTAGAAGAATGCAGGCACAACCTTAATTCTTGTTTGGAGGACAATGCAAAGCTTCATAGGTAAGATGATCTTTTTGTTTTTAATTCCATTTCTTGTCCTCAATGCTGATGAGATCACTTACCTGTTTCATCCACTAAGATACCTGCTGCCTTTCTTGCTGACGTATGCATTTTTCCCCATATCTTTTACAGAGAAATAAATGATTTACGTACCATGTTGAATGATCTCAATTCTGCTTACAATGATCAAGATTACAATTCCAAAACCATTAAGGTATTACTATTTTTTTTAATTGGGCTTGCAATAGTTATCATTGCAATTTTCTGCTCTTTTTATCGTCATAATTATACTTATAGCCTATTTTGTATGACTAGCTAGCCACAGGCTGCCATTTGCGATTGTAGGTTTACCTACTAGTTTTTATGTATAATGTATCTATGCATCTATGCTTACTCCCTTAATGTATGCCAAGTATCTTTTAGTTCTATCATTGAGAGACCATGAAAATAATTTTCAGGATTCTAGTAAAAATGAGGACCTGGAGAAGATAGATGTTCATCAAGACATGAAAAATGCTGAACAGATTATGGATTTGCAGCTGGAATTGGATATACTAAAGATTATTCTCCAAGAAGAGAGATCATCTTATTGTCGAGTAGAGGAAAGAGCAAAGTGCATGACTAGAGATCTTGAACTGGCAGAAGAAAAGCTGTTGGTCATGAGCAAGCAATTTGAAGACATAAACAACGAATTGAGAGAAGCAAAGGCTGTGATTGAAGCACTTGAATCACAACAAATTTTGTCAATCAATGAGATGAAGGACCTGAAGAAAAGCAACAGTCATTATGTAAAGCTTTTGAGGGAACAGCAGCATGAAAACATTGCCTTGAAGAAACAGCTTGCTAGAAAGGAGGTAAGAGATCTTTCACCATCTGAATGTTCTGAGAGCCAGGAGTCCAGATTACAGCTGAAATTCAAGTGGTTACAAGACTCCCTTGATAAGGCCAAGAGAATGAATGAATGGTACCAAGATGATCGTGCTTTCCAGGCAACTAATGCAGATGAAATGGATGCAATTCGAAGGCAGGCTGAAGCTGAAACTGTTGAGGTGATTGTCTCCATGCAGGAAGAACTTGCTGCTCTTCAGCAGGAAGTTGAAGCTTGTCATTTAAGAGAGATGGAGGCTAAAATGGGCACAACAATTTTGGAAACTGAGTTGAAGGAGTTGCAAAAAAAAGTCCACCTCTTGAGTGAAGATAATAGAAAGTTACATGAAAGGGTTGAAGAGAAGGATGTGGAACTAAGAGTATTATCAGAGGAGTGGGTCACGCTGGCTTCAGAAATTGAAAATATTCTGACTGATGGCCAAGAGGAACTCATTGATGCCACTGATCAACTAGAACTTATTTCTAGTTGTTTCTCACAGAAAAGAATTTGGATATCTGATCAAGTTAGCCGGTTGATTGGAATCATCTCTGAAAAGGAATCATTGATTGAAGAACTTGGTAGGTGCCTAGAGGATGCAAATGAGAAAAGAAGTAATCTGGAGTGCATGCTGAAGTCTTTGAGAGGTGCTGCACTGGTCATTAATGAAGCACATCAACAGGAGTGCAATGAAAAGGAGAAAGAAATTCTTTTATTGAAGTCACAGCTGAGTGTTAAAACATCTGCTATAGTAAAGCTGGAGGATAGAATGCAGATTGCAGAGGATGACATTAAAAAGGCATCAGTTTGTGCAACTGTTGCTTTTATTATTGTGAATAGATTGTCAGAAACAAATCTTGGCCGTCTCAATGCATTGGAGGTTAAGGATGCCCAGCTCAGAGAATCAGCAGATATAATATTGAGGAAGGATGCTCTTCTTAAGGATCAAGCTGCTGCAATTGAAGTAGCAGAAAAACAGATATACTCTCTGAGAGGTGAACTAGCAGAGTATGAGGAAAGCTATGCTGAACTTGGGCAGAGGCTTTTACAAGAGGAACAACGTGCTTCCATTATGAACCAAAGGCTTAAGGATATTGAAGAGAATGGAATTTTGGAGACAGAGGAGAAACTTAATGAGCTGAAAACCGGTTTATCCACACTCAGGTCATGCATGAGCAAGTATGCACAGAAAGATGGAAGTTCAAAAAGAAATACTATGGGAATTTGTAGCCCTGTAGATGGAAATGACGAAAAACAGGTAAGCTAATTATCTTGCTTTTTAATAGACGCCCTTTTCTGAAATTCACATTTATGTTGTAGTTAAGTTCTTTTGACGGGTGATTTATTTTGTAATTGCTACATATGGACATTATTGCAGTCAAATGATGAGTCAAATCAAGATGATATGGATTTAGATTCAGATCAGGAGTTGAGGACTGATAACTCTAAGTGCTCCTCTGAAGTGGATAAGAATTTGGGCGGATATTCAGGAAGTCAGACGTCTGTTGAGTCCGGGAAGTCTTTGAAGAATGTGTTCGATAGAGATGTTACTGTCATTCTTCTGAAAAAGGAAATCGAATCTGCTCTTCAAAGTTTAAATGAAGTTCAAACTGAGATGGCCAAACTATATCATGAGAAAGAAGAGATTTGGATGTCCAACAGACGAGAAGTGGAAAGCATGGAGCACATCAGAACTCAGGTTCTTGCCCTGCAAGCAGCTATGTCAAACTTTGAACATCAATTGGGGCTCAAGATGGAAGCCGTTAATGATAAGCTAAAATCATTTGAGCAAACCGTGCAAGAATCTGAGACTCATTGGTGCCAAACAAAAGAGGTAACATGTCAAATTTTTTATTTTTCTATAGGTATTTTCTCAGATTGCTGTGCAATATTTAGATATATGTGATCTTCATTTTATCATGTAGAAGATGGAACTACATCACGGGAAACAAGTTCTTACACGATTGATTGTAATCAATCTAGTCTTTCTAGAATTATATTTGCAACATTTCCTACCATGATTTTACCTTTTTATTATATGAAATAGATGAAAGTTGTTTAGCTTTTACCAAGAGTCTGTTTATTGCTGCACCTAATAGCTAGTTCTATTTTTACTTCCAAAACTGTTGCAGTTTCTTGAACTTGAAATTGGTGAAGCAAGGACAATTGCAGTACAGAGGGGTGCAGAGTCTTCTTGTATTCTTGCTAAATTTGAGGAGGCACAAGACACCATGAAGGAGGCAGATATTTTGATCAATGGGCTCATGATATCTAATGAAAAAATGAAGCTTGAAATTGAAAGGTTGAAGGGAAAGGCATGTACACTAGAAAATGAGAGGGATGCACTAACTGATCAGGTTCAGTACTTGCAATCCATGAATACTCTGAAGGATCAACAACTTGAAAACCTTGAACAGCAATTTGCCTCGAATTTAACAGAAACAAGGGATCTCGTTGCTGAGCTGGAGGGCTTCCTTGGACAGGTGCAGATTGCTTTCAATGAAAAGTTAATGACTATAGCTTCTGATAGCCATTGCATTAAATCTCTGCTTTTGGACTCAACAAAGTTAGTGCAATCACGGCTTGAGGATGTCTGGTCCGACATAATCGTAAAGGACTGTGCTCTATCGGTGTTACACCTCTGTCATATTGGAATTTTGCTGGAAACAGTTACAGGGCTGAATGTTGAGAATGGTTTTCTTCAGCATGGCCTGAGTGAATCTAATGCTGTCATAGCAGATCTGAGGGAGCACAACTTGAAGTCAAGAAAAGAGCTTCAAATATGTAGAGCTCTTAAGGGCAAACTTCTGACTGACATCAAGAACAGCTTTGATCGAATCTCCAGGAAGGAAGAAGAAACTGGTGAGCTTAGCATTAAGTTAATCACGTTTGACAAAAAGATATCTGATTTACAGCTTCAAGAAGAAGTGATGCTGCAAAGGTCTAATGACATTGGATCTCAGCTTGCCATTCTAATGAAGGAGTTGAATCTGAGTAAGGAAAACTTTGTAGCATCCCTTTTAGATCAAGAGAAACTGCTCAAAGAGAAAGAGGAGCTTCTGCAATCTCAGACTGAGACTTCTGTGATAGACTTGTGCTCAAAAGACATTGAGTCCCTTATTCTGACATCAGAGTTAGGAGAAATGGCTGTCTGCTTAGCTGATACCAAAATGGAGCTTATCAGTGCTGATACCATCCTTGATAATCTAAAGAGAGAAACAATTTTTTCCAAAGTAGATGCAGTTTTGAAAGAACAGCTTTTGCTTGACAGGGAAGTTGAAATTGCTTTTCTACAGGAAAAAAATGAAGAAGCAGCAAGTGAGATAAGAAAGTTGAAGACAGAAAATAGCTTATTTCTTCACGATTTAGAGGAAAAAAAGTCTGAGCTTGAATCATGTTTAAACTGCATCACTACTTCAAATATGGAAACTGAGAACCTGCAGGACAAGGTTTTATCCTTGGAGATTTGTGTCAATAGTCTACAGGGTGATTTAGAGAAGAAGAATGTTGAACTAAATGACCTCCAACATTCTCATTGTGTAGTCATGAATGATTTATGTTCCAAAAGCCAGAATTTGCAAATTTTTGTTGATCGAGTGAATGCTTTGAAGGAAGAAAATGTTCTTCTAAGAAAAGAACTTCGACATAGTCAGAAAATCCTGCATGAAGCATACAACAGATCAAGCTTGAGCACTTTGAACTGTGTTGATTCTGTGGATGCAATGATGGGTGACAAATTATTTGCAGATGGTTTTCTGCTTTTAGACAAGATGTTAAGGGAGATGCATGAAGGAGAAGAGAGGATGTCTAAATTCATAGAAGAGTTTGACTACTTAGAGTGTCAGGCTAAAGAACTTGTTTCTGAGAATGTGACTCTCCAGATTGAGTTATCAAGGAAGGATGACATTCTAAAAGGACTATTATTTGATCTGAGCCTCTTGCAAGAGTCTGCTTCTAATACTAAAGATCAAAAAGATGAGATTGAGGCATTAGAAGATGAGCTTGCAGTGAAATCAGGTGAACTGGAACAGGCTGTTACATATGGGCAAATGCTTGAGACTCAGTTGCAGGAGAAGATAGACATTATCTCCGATCTTCATCTGCACATTTCAAAGGAACATGAGTTAAAAGCTGAGATTGAACAGGCCTTGGCAGCAAAATCTTCTTTTGAGGAGGAGTTAAAAGAGAGAAATAATATGGCTGAGAGCTTGGAGATGCGGCTCTCAGAAATGGAAAATGCCCTTAGCCACATGAATGATACAAATGAATCCTTGAGAGGCAATATGAATGAGATTGAAAGTGAGAGAGATCAATTCCATGAGGAGGTCATTAGTTTGGAAGAAAAGCTCAGAAAGATGGAGTTCGATGTTAGAGAAAAAGAAGCTTTGACCATGGAAGCTTTACAGGTTTGTTCTAGTTTAGACCCTAGTGCTTTGTCTCTTCCTTTTCCTTCTAATTTATTGCCTCTCTTACCCAGTTATATTTATATTTTTTAAATTCAAATTAGATGGCTGAATCAAGAAAGATCCATGCTGAAGCCAAGGAAGCAGAGGTGAAATTGTTAGAGAGGTCTGTTGAAGAGCTAGAATGTACTATAAATGTACTGGAAAACAAGGTTTGTTTTTCCAACTGTCAGTAACACGCAATGGCATGTACCTTGATGATAACCCTGCCTGGTGGTTCCCGTCTTTTGTTAGGTTGACATTATCAAAGGAGAAGCTGAACGTCAGCGGTTGCAGAGGGAGGAGCTGGAGTTGGAGCTTAATTCTGTGAAACAGCAAATGCAGAGTATTAGAAATGCTGATTCAGACATGAAAAGGTTTGAAATTACTCTATTATGTCTCTAATAAATTGAATTGTGCTATATGCTGATTTACTTCTCATCCCAATTATGCCTTCTTCTCATCAACAGGCTTTTACATGAGAAGGAGAAAGATCTTCAAGAAGCCCTAGAGCAAATAATAATTCTTGAAAAGAACATAGCTGATAAAGATGCTGAGGTGAAGTTTTCTTTTGCATTGTTTTACATTCATCTATAGTTTTGTTCTAAGCTCATGATGCTCAACCATAACGACCTTCAACACTTTGGTTTTCAATGGGTTCAGTTTTTTACAATAATTCTATTTGTTATTGTTCAATAGATTGCCCAATGCAAAACACATTTATCAGAACTAAATCTGCATGCGGAAGCTCAGGCTAACGAGTACAAGCAGAAGGTAAGCCAGCTGATATTGTATATGTGATAGTTTTGCTGCCTTTTGAAGACATACTATGGAGTTAAAATATATTCTCTTGCTTTTATTTCTTTAACAATATGAAAAACATGAAATTGGGAAACAGTTCAGGGCATTGGAAGCCATGGCTCAACAAGTTAAACCAGAATGTCACCATATCTCAAGTAATTCATCAAACAACTCAGAGAAAAATGCTGTCAAGAGTAGGGGCTCTAGTTCCCCATTCAAGAGTAGGGGCTCTAGTTCCCCATTCAAGAGTAGAGGTTCTGGTTCCCCTTTCAAATGCATTGGCTTGGGCTTGGCACAGCAAATGAAATCTGAGAAGGATGAGGATCTTTCTGCTGCAAGGATGCGCATTGAAGAGTTAGAATCCTTAGCAGTAAGTCGACAGAAAGAGGTAGGCCTTACTGCATGGATATTACCTCTACAGCTTATTAAAGATGTTGGAGTTATTTTTCACTTTTTCTTCCCCTTCCAGATATTTGCACTGAATGCCAGACTAGCAGCTGCTGAAAGCATGACCCATGATGTCATTCGAGATTTATTGGGGGTCAAATTTGATATGAACAAATATGTGGTAATTAATTTTTAAATTTTCCAGTTTAATCAATCATATCTTAGTCTGATAATATGATATTAGCTTCCTTGTATGGCCAATGAAACATGCAAAAAATAATTTTTTTTTACGATATTGTTATTGTAAATATCTGTCTTATGTTTTTCTTTTTCAAATGTAGTCACTGTTGAATAGTCAGAAAGTGCCGAAGATGATAGAGGAAGTTGCCCTTAACAGTTTAGAATCCCAAGTAAAGGTCTGTCTTGACTTTTGAGTGGTGCCTATCATATTAAGATTGGACATTTTCTGTTTTTGTCTTGAATCATGTAAATCATGTAGGAGGAGGAGTTTGTCAAGCTGAAGCAGCAACTCAATGAGTTTATTGAGGAGAGGCAAGGGTGAGTGCTTGTTACTTAAAAGACAGCTGATTGGTTCCTATCATTAAGTTATTTTTTGTTATTCTCGGCTATTTTCTTTCATATGAATCCCTTCATTTGTTCAAGCTTTTCACATCATTTTTGATAGATGGCTAGAGGAAATTGATCGGAAACAGGCTGAGCTTGTAGCTGCACAAGTAGCATTGGAAAAGCTTCGCCAGCGAGATCAGTTGTTTAAAACTGAAAATGAAATGTTGAAGGTTAAAATCTTGTTCTTTTCCATCATATTAGGTTTTATTAATCCTGAAAGTGCATGTAGATTTTGCACCTCTTTCCCACTGGTTTGACCTTAACTTCATGTTTTTTCTTTTTTCTTTGTTTTTTTTTTTTTAGATGGAGAATATAAATTATAAGAAAAAAGCGGTGGAACTTGAGGAAGAAGTAAAGAAGCTGTCTGGCCAGCAAAACCTTCAGCAGCGCATTCATCATCATGCCAAAATAAAGGTATGTTGCATTTCACCCCCACCCTGCCTTCTGCTGAAATCTTAAAAATAGCATCCAAGTCCCAACCAAAAGCAGTATTAACTTAAATTATTCTTTTCTTCTTGAATGTTGCAATAGGAGGAAAATAACATTCTAAAAATCCAGAATGAAGACCTTAGTGCTAGACTACGGCGTACAGAGGTCATACTTTCTCATGTTAGGGAAGAGCTTACTAATTATCGTGCTTCCATTGGTAAAAATCCTAATATTGATTTTGATGGGGAGCAACAGTTGAAGTATAAACTGAAGGTCAGTCCACAAATAATATGATGTATGCTTAAACCACACATGCAGTTTCCTTAACAGTTGGTGAATCTGCTGCAGGAAGCCGAGGATGACAGAATCCAATTAGCACAGAGATTATTAAGCTTATGTACCAGCATTTTAAAGGTATGTAACTGATTAAGGAATTGGTTTCTCTTCTTCCCATCAAACCAGGAAACTCTTTCCTCTTTTCTCATTCCAACTGAACTTTCACAGGTAGCTGGAATAACAAAACCTGTTTCTGAAATATCCCCTGATGATGCTGAAGAAGCACTTGATCATGTCAAGAATAAACTCACCTCCCTTGAAAGAGAATTGCAAAACTTGACCCTCAAGGTACACTTATCCATTGATCATCTCAAGAGCTGAGTATCTATGTATCTATGTCTGTAACTAATATTCCATTAGACACTAATAAACTGGCAAATGTTTTTACAGAGTAGAACTACAAGTGAAAGAAACCGGTTGTCAGGACTAATGCCACAATCTCCACCAAGAAGCACTAGAACAGAAGAGAACTGTCAATCCCCTAGACGGTCATCCCAAACTCCATTTCTTTCTACTCTAGATCGATAGAACGCTCCTGGGATGAAGGGCAATACAGAGTTAGTATTTTTGCTAACAATCATCACACATACAAATTGTTTGTGAATTTTTCTCATCATTCTGTTTGCTGTCTGGCAATTTGAGCTGTATATTTGTGAGCATAAATCAAATGTAAATATTCTTCAATGGAAATATGTATGTTATATGTTCTCCATTTTGTACCCTGATTGTACAAATATTTTTTTACCTGAAATACAAATTAAAGTTGTTAGACAGTATAGCCAACAAAAACAATAATATTTAATAATCTAAATAAATTTATGATCTTGTTACAATTTGTCAATGATATAGATGAGAGATAATTGACCCTCAAATTAAAAAAAAAATCATTTATAATTTATTAATTGAATA